AAAAAAAAAAGAATTATGTGAGATCAAATTGACAACAGCAACTCAAAAGGTTTGATGGGAAGCCTAGGGGACAGTGAGTTGAAGATAATGGAGATGGAATAATTTGGAAAAGGATAGTGAGAATAGCAGCACAACTGGAAGAATGTAATTAATGTCACTGAATTGTACATGTAGAAACTTTCAAAATGGTGTAACTTTGGCTACATGTATTTTCACCAAAAAAAAAAGTCCTCAAGGTCAAGAAGGGAGAGTGTTGACATGTTGTGGGCTTGTTAACCAATGTCATAAAATAATATGTGAACTGACTGTTTAATGAGAAACTATTTGTTCTGCAAACCTTCATCTAAAGTACAATAAAAAAAATTTAAAATTAAAAAAAAAAATGGATGTGTAAGACCAGGGCTGTGTTCTCAGAGAATTTCTCCAGAACGCTATAGCTGTTAGGAAAGTCAGGGAATGCTACACTGGAAAAAGTAACAGGTTTTGGACTTCCCATTTCCAGGAACTGAGAAGATTAATGAGGCATAATGCCCTGTGAAAATGGCAGAAGACAAATGTGAATTACATATCAAGCCTGGAAAAAAGGAACGATTAAACAGTTGAGTCATCAAGTATTAAAGAAGGGAGAAAATAATATTGAGCAAAAACACCTAGCAGCTACACCATGGTATCCTCAATGAAGCAAAGTGTTAGCTTTTACTAAAGGTGTATAGAATAATAGAAGTAAATTTATATGAAAGAAACTATACTCTTTATGTCGACTGGAATCTGTGATTCATGTTCTGCTTAAGGAATGGATATCAACAGTAAAGTAGATATTTAGTGACTCAGTGCTCATATTGAAACAAAATGTTGATGGACCACTAATAGATATGTATCTTTTAATACTTCCAACAACTTGCCAAACCTCCGAACTCCTGTGGGAGTAGATAATCCCCTTCTCATGGTGGTCAAGAATACTAAACACAGAAAATTCATTAGGGCTATGTCTAATAAAACTGATAAAGTCAAATATGCACAATTTCAGATGATTGAAATTCAGGGCCTGTGTGTGGGCAGGGGCACCAGGCTAAGGGGACGTGTGTGGTGCTGAAACTCAGTCTGCACTCAACTTGCCAAGCCTGGCTCAGGGTGTCAGTCTGGAGCAATGAAACACTTTTTCTCATTAGACCACCCGGAAGGTGTACGCTTTTTGCAGTTTGTCTGTCTTCAAGGAGCACCTTTTTCTAATCCAAAAGGATATCTTACATGGTGGTGGTGGACATGAGCAAAATTACTGCCTGCCTTGGGCTTTCAGGTTTGGTCCTAAAGATGCAAAATAGAGAATTTTCAGCCTAGAATGGGAAAGGGTCTCCTAGCTAGTTCGCCTTTGTTTTAAGTGATGAGTTTGCCTCTTTGTATCGTCAGGTGAGGTAAGTAAGAATCCAATACATTGTTAATTCTAAAAGGTATTTTAAATCACTTACAAAGTAGGGTGAATATAATTTTAAGCGATCTCAAATTAACAAGGAAACCAATAAAAGAAGTATTAGGCACCTGGGATCAATTAATAATTCAATTAACTGCTAAACTTAGCTCTGTCCTTTTAGGCTTCCAAAATAAAAAACACCCCCACATATTCATAATTCATAAAATTACACATATTAATATGAAGAGTCAAAACTTTTCCTGGCATTGAAATCTGAAAGACTCTAAGTGATTGTATTTCTCAATGAAAACATATAATTTGACATTCTTCTGCTTTGGGAGAAAAAAGGGATCCAAGGACACAAGAGGCAACATATCCCTTAGGACCTACTACAAATAGACATTTCTAGAGGCTTTTGACAAGGATTAAGTCACACTCAATAAATGATAGAATTATAATATCATAAAGATCCTATGATATCTTTACACGTTAGAAAGGCATGGCAGCAGCAAACTGAAACTTTCTGGCCAGAATTATGGTCTCACTCAGAATCCATCCCACTTCTACTTGGAGATGAACTTTTTGGGATGCCTTTGAGAATGCGTACAGGTAGGGCAAAGAATTTTCCTCGTGAAAAGCTGAAGAAATAAAGAGACAGATTTCTCCTTCTGATTATGACAGGTTAGATCATTCTGATCAACTCTCTCACTAAAGAACAATAAGAAAGCTGGAAAAAAATCTTTAAACATATGCATAAAGGCACCAAAGAGCTAAAGAGATTAATGAGGAAATATCTGGCCAGATTCTGGAAGAGAGGACAGGAATCCAGACAGTAAGCCTACTTTCAAGGCTGCTTTTGGCTTGGGTATTTTTGTAGATCTAGATTAGGCTGCTGAGGGCTGAACTGCATTTTTTACAATATCTGCACGAACAAACATAAGGGTGTCATACGTAGAAAAGGCATGAACAAGAAGTAAAATTACATGGACAGCAGCCATGCTTCCAGACATCTGAGGAAAGAAAAAAAATCTCAAACCTTGAAATTGGATCAAGATAATTCCAGGAATTCAGCAAACAAAATTCACTA